GAAAAAAATTCCACACACCAAAGATTGCTTTTTGTGTGTGTGTGCAGTACTGGGGATTGAACTCAGGACCTTGCACTTGTGTGACAGGTGCGGTGCCACTGAGCTAAATCCCCAGCCCCAAGATTGTTTTTTTTTTTCTTTTTGGTACCAGGGATCGAACTCGGGTCCTTGCACTTGCGCAGCAGGTGGCGAAACCACTGAGCTAAATCCCCGGCCCTCCAAGATTGCTTTTTTATACAGTGGTACCTCAGTTCACAAACTTGATTCTTTCCGCAATTCTAGTTGCAAACTGAGTTGGATGAGAACCGAATCAAATTCAGTGGTTAGGTTCAACGTTGACCTTAGGAGGAAATTTGAAAGGATGCTGTCTTATTTGCTTTGTGCACACAGCCTGGCATACTGCCGATGCTCAAGAAATGTGAAATGAATGAGTGATGCAGAGGAACCCAAAGATACTGGTTGTCAGTGAATTAGAGGATAAAATGCATCATATGGTTTTAGCAAATGATTTTAGCCAAAAAGAAAGTAAATATAGATATCTAGAGCTAGGGAAGTAGCAGCAAAATATCATTTAAAATATGAGTTATAGCCTGGTGTGGTAGTACATACCTGTAATCCCAGCACTCAGGAGGCTGAGGCAGGAGGAGTGCTGAGAGTTTAAGGCTAACTTGGGCTATATAGTGAGTTCAAGGCCAGCCTGAACTACACACCAAGACCCTGTCTCAAAAAAAAAAAAAAAAAAGAATATGTAAGAGGGTAGAGGGCAGTAATGTAGACCAGAAGTTAAGGAAGTTTGAAATGAAAAATTACATTTTTCAAACTTTTTGGCTCAAGTATCTCTAGAGATAGAGAATGGCAGATGATAACCGCTTAGGGCTGGGAACCTCTTGGCCTTAAGTACAAAATGTCTATGAATATTTTGAACATGTCTGTGTTTAATCTTCAGAAATTTATGGAAAAACTGCATTTCATTTTATTATCTGTGTGTTTGTTTTAACATGAAAGTATTTTTTTCCTCCCTACTCACTTCATCCTCTAGTAAAATACTGTAGATGCTACCAGAACAGATGTCATTTACCCTCTTAACTTCTGGCACATGCTGGCATACACAAATCGGGAAGGCATAGAATAGGGTTAAAGTCTAATATGGCTGCACACCAGCTTTCTGGAATCGGGGATTGCTGAGGAATATTATGTCGTGGAACCAAGGAGGGTGAGCTCCTTTTGTTCTGATGACCAGGCTGTTCCTGGAAGGCTGCAGTCAGTTGAAGGCACCTCATTACCAGAGGACTGGGGACCAGCTGGAGAGAGTTCACAGGAGACCCACAAGGATGATTAAGAGACTGGAGGGATTGACTGATGAGGAAAGAGTATATAAATGAAAACCTTATAACTTGGCTGAACCAAGACAGCAGAAATATACAACTACATAAATAGCTCAGGAATATAAACTTGATAGGGAAGGGTAGTACTTTATCATGGGATTTTGGAATGGGGAGAATAAACCAAGGGTGAAATAAAGCCATCATAATTGTAAACTAAGAATTCAAAGTATCTGATGGTACACTTAATTTTTTGGAACCTACTTAGTTAGACCTCTCTAACTTTATTAATTGAATTATTTGGTATTTTTAATTTTATGTTCTTGGACGCATGTTGAGTCCTCTACATAGAGACTGCTGGAAACTACATTAAGAAAGCAGATGCCTTTCTTATGTCCTGTCTTGTTTTGTGGAAATTGGTAGTGATAATGGAACTCCTGTGTGTTGCCACCAGCTCTGTGTGTACTGGAATTCCAAAGTGGACTTTCACATCAGTATTTTCTTTGGTTTTTTGAAAATAGCACTTGAAAATTAGAGACTGAGCCATTAATATGTATCATAATTGTAGGAACCAAAATACAGTATTGGAACCTTGAGGTATAGTAAATGAAATTCTTCAGCACAAGAATATCTCAAAGAAGGAAGTGATTGACTCTGCCTGGCCTAGATAGAATCCTCAGAGAAGCCTGGCAGCTGGACCAGAAAGGGCAACAGTGCTTGAGTTAAGACTTGAAGCTCACTAGGGGCACTGAGCATTGGGTAAGCATGATAGTTCATGGTGGGCACAGTAAAGATTATGTTAGAAGTAGGAGTTACTTGACTTAATAATCAAGTAACTGATCACAAGATTGGAGATCAACTAAAATTATAATGAATAGAAATAAAAGTTCAGTATATTTTGTTATCTTAGTTTCTTTATACCATTTCTTCATTTGGAAAAAAAATAACTTGCTCAAAGTCTTTAAGGAGAATAGGTCCGTAAAAAGTATATAAACTTTTGCTTTTGGCGACAGCGGAACAGTAGAAATCCAGCCCTGGCAAGGATGTCGGATGTTGGAGTCTTACGTGTATTTTCAGCGCATTCTCCCCACCTCTAAGCCCCCCAATAAAGTCATTTGGCCCCCCTCAAAAAAAGTATATAAACTTTTTACATGTTCTTGCATCATTAAGCATTTGGAAAACACTAAGGTAGAATATAAAAAAGCACAAATTTTTTTTTTTTTCTGGTGCTGGGGATTGAACTCAGGATCTTATGCCTGCCAGGCAGGTGCCACACTGTTGAGCTACATCCCCTGCCCTATAAAAAGTATTTATACCTGCCCTGCAAGCGCAAGGACCCGAGTTTGATCCCCGGTACCAAAAAAATAAAAAAATAAAAAATAAAATAAAAAGTATTTATAATTCATTATACCAAGAGATAACCACTATTAACATTTTTATGCTTTTTTTCTTTGTCTTTGTGTGTATGGGGGGAGTGGTTCTGGGAATTGAACCCAGGGCCTCTGCACTGAGCTACATTCCTGACCCTTTTAAAAAAAATTTTATGTTTTATATTGAGACAGGGTTTTGCTAAATTGCTTAGGCTAGACTCCCAAACTTGGGATCATCCTGTTGTAGCCTCTCAGAGTGCTGAGATTTCAGCATGTGCCACCACACTGGCTTTTCAGTTTTCATATGTAATGTTATGTTTCTAAAATTGGGCATATGCTAAATAAACAACTTTGCTTCTGTTTTTTTCATTCATCATTTTATTTGTAAGCATTTCCCAGTGTGTTTGTTCTGTAAAAGTGTGATTTAAAAATCCTTATGTGACATTCTATCATAGGCATCTCTTATAGTTTATCTAACTGTTCTGTTGTTTGTGGATCCTTTAAACTGGTCCCATTTGCTAGTTGACTCAGGTTTTGGCTCATGTACTTGGCAAGTCTGTCACCGTGTATTAAAATACATGCATATAACTTATTTATTTTTAATTTTAAAAGTTTGCCGATTTACTTGATCTGCTGGCTTTCACTCATTCTGTTCTGTTCCTGGTAGCATTTCATATTTTCTTCCTTGCTTTTCCATAGCAGAGAGATAAGAAGTAGTCATTAAAAACCTGAACTTGGTCCAGACTGTCTGGTTTTAGCTCAGTTCTAATATTTTTTGTATATAGTCTTCAGAGTACCTTACGCTTTTTATGTCCTACTCTGCAAAGTAAGGATAATTGTTATCGCTGTTGGGATCATGAACCACAAAGCACTTAGAACAGTCCCAGCCTTGTGGTAAGATTGTGTCTTTCCATTTACTGATTTCACATTTGTTTTATGGTGGCTCTTTGTGTGTGCATTGCCATAAGCCCCCTTTCTTCTACATTTGGTTCATGAATATCTTTTGAGAGTTACAAACTGACTTGATAAGACTTGCTGACTTTATTTTGAAAGCCCACAGATTCCTCCCCTCTGCTTGTAGCAGCAGGTTTTACTGTCTTAAAGATAACATCAGCCTTGTTTAACCATATTTATTTTTTTTCTTTCTGGATCGAACTCAGGACCTTGCACTTGTGAGGCAGGTGCAGTGCCACTGAGCTAAATCCCGGCCCTCACCATATTTTATTTTTAAAATTAATTTTATTAATTTTTTAATAGCAAAACATTTATTGGTACATTTTAGGCATACATAATTTTAACACTCATCATAGGGAATTTGCACCTGAACATGATACATCCCACCTCTTTCTTCCGACACCCCCCCTTTACTTCCTATGTACATAAACCTTGTTTCCATTTTTTTCCATTGTCACTTTTTCCTTGTCCCTTCCCTTCTCCCTCCTTTTCTTCCCATTTCATAGTATCTGTTATACATTTTACTCCTTATTTCCACTTTGTTTCTCACACCAGAGAAACAACACAGTTTAACCATATTTTAGAAATGAATACATAGACTCAAAGGGAGCAGACTGCACAGACTGATAGACAGGATTTATTTATTTATTTATTTATTTATTTATTTATTTATTTATTTATTTATGGTCTTTTGAGACAGGGTGTCACTATATAATTCAGGCTGCCCTCTAACTCCCAGGCAATCCTCCTGCCTCAGCCTCCCAAGTGCTTGGATTACAGGTGTGTCCCACCACACTTGGCTTTGATAGATAGATTTTAAAGCTCTTTGGTGAACTATCTTTTTTTCTAGCTAAATATTATCTTAAGTCCTTTTCATGGCATGTGTGGCTCTCTGAAATCTGGCCATGCCTGAGCTTTTGTCTGATTTCCCTCCATGTGGTTCCTAGGCCCTGTGCTCCAGCCCCATTAAACTGAAACTGAAACTGGTCTCTAAAAAGCGCTGTCCCCTGGCTTGCATCTCCCTAAGGACTAGAGTCCGCTGAAGTGCTAGAGCTTCCTTCTGAGGAGTGAGATTGCCAGTGCACTCTTGTGGAGTTGGTGTGACCTCAGAGAAATAGTGGTCAGAGTTTGCCAAACTTGGTTTCTTTTAGTGTAGCAGAGTTCCCACTGCCTGTTGTACTTCCTTTTTGTTGTTTTCTAGGCAGTCCCTTTCAGGGATAAAATCCTATTGCTCTTACCCTTTTGTCTTTTTTTTTTTTTTAAAGTACTGGGGATCGAACTCAGGACCTTGGGGTTGTGAGGCAGGTGGTGGTACCACTGAGCTAAATCCCTGGCCACCTTTTTGTCTTTTTAGAATAGGATGCTGGGACACCAGAAGAGATGATGCCTTCAGCAGTGAATCGTACCCTGCACTAGAGAAGTCCGGGAATGACGTGTTCCTGGGCTGGATTTCTTCACCCTGGAATTCATGCAGTTCATTTCAGAAACACTGACCCTCTGCTTACTGTGACACATCCTCAATAAAGGTCTGATGGACAGACCTTTTCTGGTGACTTTGTGGCTTTTTTCTTCATATGGAAGTTGGAAGACAAAGTCAAAGGGACCAAAAGTTACTGCTTTGGTGAATAACTTTGTTCTCAGAACATGGGCCCTCGTTTAAAGGTAAGATAATGGGCTGTGTTAAGAATCAGTTATTCGGGTGTAGAACATGGATCCATGGAATATACACAGTTCCTAAGCCTCTTCAGCAGGCAATAGCAGTTGAAACACAAGTTGCACTGTGTATGGTGATGCACACCTATAATCTTAGCACTTGGGAGGCAGAGGCAGGAAGATTGCCACAGGGTCGGCCTAAGCTACATATAGTAAGTTTAAGACCAGCCTGAACTACATAACAAGACCCTGTCTAGGAAAAAAAAAAGAAAAGAAATACAGGTTACAATGAGAGTTGATTTTGTCCTTGGCAGAATAAGTTTGAATATGAGGAAACCAATTCTACACTTTTGGGAAATGATTTTTTTCACAACTGATTTTCAATGTTGGGGCTAAATTTTATTTGATATTTAAATATAAACTTTGTACTCCAGCAAAGCAAAAGATTCTAGAATATGTACATTAGTCAATTTTTAGCATTCCCTTGTGACAGGTTATTTTCAAATATTTCCCCCTTTTGTAGATAATGTGAGCCAAAGTGCTGGTATTAAGCAATTTGCCCAATATCCTGTAGTGAGCAAGTGCTATTTCTGCACTAGATAACTGGTACTGCATTCCACTTTTCATTGTCATGCTTTATTTTTATTTCAAGAGATAACAAAAGAGCTGTAAAAGCTTATCTTTCTAATTTTAGCTTCACTGTAAAGATTCCTTACAATTAGATTGGATAATTTCTTTGCACTTTCTTTTATCTGTTTTCTTCAGTCCTTTCTCTTCCCTAGTACTTGGCTCCCCAATGACTTCATTCTTTTTCGTGAGTCAGTATAGTGGTGAGGTTAAGAGCTTTGGGCTTCAGAGTTAGAAATGGATTTGAGTCTCAGCTCTGTCACTTAACCATCTGGGAGATGTTTAGTAACTTTTCTAAGTCCAGCCCTTTTTTTTAATATGTAAAATGAGAATAATGCTTGTCTTGCCAAATTGTTTTGGTGACAGTTATACTTCTTAAACTAACGTGTAAAGTGCTTAAGGAAGTGTTTAGCCTATGGTAAGTGTTTGATAGAGGATAGAGAGTAATCTATTAGTGCTACTATTACTCTAGTGCGTTAGAGTATGACAATTTGCTAAGTTGTATAAGGGCAAGAACGTAAAAAGATAAACTTGAAAACAAAATACAGTACTCATATAAATAAATTGTATGAAATAATATGGTAGAGGCTTAATAGACTTCTGTATGCTTCTATTAGAATTTGGAGGAGTATAATTTTATGCAGCAGAAATTGAAAGGTGCTATAGAAACTTGTAGAAAAATAACCATGAGAACCCTTGTCCCCACTGATAGGCATGTTATACATACTTTTAAACTGAATTAAATTGCAGTTTTTGGTCTAAAGAACTTATGTGAATATACTAGTTCAAGTAAATATACTGCTAACTAAAAAAGTTTTTTAAAACTATATCTGAGGCTGGGAGTATAGCTCAATAGTAGAATGTTTGCCTAATGTGTGTGGCCCTGGCTTCAATCCCCAGCACCACAAAAATAATCAAAACTCCCAAACTATATTTGAAAGAAAAGTTCCATCTGGGAAATTCCTGATCCTTAGCATTCTGGACAAGAGCAAGAATATAACATGACCCTATCCACTCAACAGATACTTATATTTATTTCAGTTATGATATGCGGTTATATTTGATGTACTAGAGAGGGTTTTGTTTTTTTTTTTGTATGGGGATCGAACTCGGGACCTTATGCTTGTGAGGCAGGCAGCAGAACCACTGAGCTAAATCCCCAGCCCTGCTAGAGAGTTTTTAAGGCTAGTCTTTGCCTCTTGTTATTTACCACTCTGAAATGAAAAATAAACAAGACTAAAAGAATACAAATGTCTTAAGATTTAAAAAAAAAAAAAAGTTGAGTGGAACTCAGAGGAGGGAAAGAATTTCTAACTTGAGGATTAGGAAGATAGAATAGGATTTTCCCTAGACTTTAGGATCAGGAGATAGTCCATAGAGAGGGGAGTAGGATATTCTAGGCAAAAGAGTTGATTTCTGAAAAGGCATGAAGATGAGACATTTCAGGCCTTATATGTAAAAACTTAAAGGATTTGATTTAGGTAGATCATAGACTGAATATAAGGGATAATAATAGTTGTGGGAAATGAGAATACTGTTGAGTGAGGGTGACAGGAGAGCCAGGATAGAGAGAACCCTCAACACGATCAGTAAGGATAGAAAATGCTTACACAAGAGAGGTGAAATCTAAAATAAATTATTTGACGAAAATGGAGAGGTTGTGTGATGTATTCAGGAGGAACTAGAAAGAGGAAAAAATGTAGAAGAAAGGCAAATTCAGAATGTGACCCTGGGGAAAACTTAAGGTGGTTATATGCTGTTGAATTTTTGAGCTGTTGTAGAGCAGTGGGATTTTTGTAAAGGTCAGATCAGTGCAGGAAAAATTGATAGAGCTAACTCCTTAGATATAAAGAGCTTTTAAGAAAAGAGGAGAGTCCTTTGGAAAAAAAAAGCAGTAATTGCTATCCTAAGTTTTAAATCATGAAGAGAATTGGGGAAGAATGGTAGAATTACTGGAATAGGTCTAGGTGGTCTAGAAAATCAGCAGTAGTGATGATTTGATTGAGAAATAAGTGAAGGGAGTGGGGAAATGGCCAAGGACTCAATAAGGTAAAGCTCATTATTGCTAATTTTGTGAGGACTGGGACATGGGCTATTGTTTCTATGCCATTTCCCCAGTACCTGGCACATTAAGTAAGCACTTGGTATTTGTTGGATGAATGGCTATAGAATGAGATTTTAACTCCTTATAAAAGTTTTCAGACATCAAATTAGAATAGTATAAAGAACTCCCATGTAGGCTGAGATTTTAGATATAGTAAGAGAAGCCATCCGGGCCTTTTGTAATCCTCAGTGCATTTCTCTTTAACAAAAGTGTGGGGCAGGGGCCAGGGATTTAGTTTAGTGGCACCACGCCTGCCTTGCAAGTGCAAGGTCCTGAGTTCAATTCAAAAAAAAAAAGTGTGGACCATAAAGAGATAACCTATTTTCTTTTGGCTCTGAAGCAAAGGAATAGTGATATGAATACTTCATAGATGATAATTATAATTACTGAAACCTTGAGAACTCACTGTGTGCCAGGCACAGTTCTAGGCTGTTAATGTGTTAGCTTATCGAATCACCTCACCCATGTGAGTTATATACAAGTGTTATCCCCACTTGACGGACAGGGAAACTGGCACTTTATAGAGAAATTGAAGTACTTATCCAAAGTCACATTGTGAATGGCAGAGTATGGGTGTGAATCCAAGTAATCTAACCCTAGAGCAGTGATGGCGAACCTTTTAGAGCCCAAAAGCCCAAACTGCAACCCAAAAGCCATTTATGTATCACAAAATGTCAATACTACAATTAAACCTGAATACTGACAAGCCATTCAAAAGCTTAGACAAAGTTTCTGCTAATGAGTTGCTATTCCTTTCTAAGCATGTGCATAGCCCTTCTGTGCTGTTATCTGATGCTCAGTTGCTGGGGCGATGGCTAGGGAGACTTGGCTCATGTGTGGACAGAGAAGGCACAAGATGTTTGCCATAGATTTGCCACCACTGCCCTAGAGTCTTTGCCCTCATTCTCTGTATCATACTATTTGTGTTATATTTTTTATTTTAAAGCCTTGATTGCTATGGGGAGTTACATCGAAGTTATATCATACTAAAAGAAATGGTACCACAGAAATTATTAAATCTTAATTCTTTTTACAGCAATGAAAGTTCCAAAGCCTAGATAAGTCACACAGTTGCATCCTGGAACTAGTCCCCAGGCTTCTGCCTTAACTCTTGTCAGCTGCCTCTCATAAGAAAGGTTCTTAAAGTTATCAGCGATCATAGGTGGGGATTTTTCCAGCCCTTGGGACTTAAGGCATAAATTTGGCATTGTTCTAATTCCTCCATGGAGCAAAAGGGTTTTGACCACAAGTCTGAACCATTGGTCACGTATATTTCATTTTCTGCTGAATGTCTTAACTTTCCTGAGGACCACAAGTTTCATGTCTAGTTCACATTGGAAGAGTAGAAGCTGTCCAGCTGAGGAAGTACCTAAGATAGTTAAACTGCCAGGTTTGGTCCCAGTGAGTCATATAGCACATCCTGTAAGGTACAGACATATGCTTTTTGAGAGATGGCAGCAGCTTTTTAATATAGTGTCCCAGGAGATAAGATACTTATTTGGGAAGGCAAGGAGGCTCAGTAGTTTTGATCCCAAAATTTGTGTCTGTATATTTTCTATAATAGACTCTTTTGGGAGCCACTCAATTCATGTGTGTTGAGAATTCTAATGTTCCTTTCTAGTAGGACTTTAGATACTGCCTAAATAATCATTTCCATGAAACCTGAGTTGGTCATTCCTGAAATACCTATTCTCTGTGGGTTCCAATGGGTATATTATTATCAAAGGAAGTGAGGGGCCATTTTCTGTCTCAGGTTTTTTGAGCAGTCATATATAAAAATAAATACTATTTTTTTTAAAAAAAGTTCTTTTGGTCCCTCCCAGATCTAATCCTAGAAATTGTCTCTAAGTAATATTCTGGTGCTGACAGAGGTGCTGAGCATTGATAACCTTCATATAATATTTTCTTGAAAAAAGTTCAGTGCAGTGTAGTGGAGAGCATATACAGCCTATAACATCATTCTCAGTGATGAGATATGAAGGTCAGCAGTACATTATCTTTGATGGTTCAAATAACCAGTGAATAACAAAGATTGTTCAGGAAGCAAGTTTAAACAAGAGTGAAAGTTTTCCCGGGCCGGGGATTTAGCTCAGTGGTTCCGCTGCCTGCCTTGCAAGCGGAAGATTATGAGTTCGATCCCTGGTACCAAAAAAAAAAAAAAAAAAAGGGTGAAAGTTTTTCCTCAAACTCCAACCCTGTGGCAGGTATCACTTGGAATGAGAACCACCATCTCTACCGTTTATTTCTCTCCTTGACCTTTCTGCTGTGTGTATTCTCAAGAGGGCTTGTTAGTGTGTCTGGTTGTTCACGATATAAACGACTTCTTTTACATCCCCACTGCTCATTATTACCGTGACTCAGAGTTCATTTTAATTACATTTTGCCAACATGACGATAATAATACTTTTTAAAATGTGCATTTCATATAACTGTTCCTATTTAGCTGAATTGCTTCCAGAAGGCAAATACTGTCAAAGGGAAAGGTGATTCTATTATCCTCTTTGCTATTGTTATCTACTTTGCATGGGAGAGGGAAATTATCTTGGGACCCTAGGATCTAAGAAGATGAAAGCTGGATTATTGCATTTTGTAATTAGCAAGAAAGCACGTGGCTGGTTGTGGTATTCCTAGGGTGGTTGATAGACTGGAAGGAAGTCTTTAGGGGGAATGATGCAGTCTCTCCTTATTTCTCTGAAATATGTCTTAGGGGAATTGTCAAGCTAGAGATAGAAGACAGGAATAGTAAAGCTTTAGCCTGAAGATGTTTGGCTTAAGCCATGTGCTTTACTTTGTCTCATTCTGATACTGCTTTAAGGAATAAGTTGCAGGAAAAAAATTAAACGAGTTTTCTTTTGCAGCTGCAGCTGTGATCCTCGGCTGTCTGTTGGCATTGAAGGGACCTGATGTTTTACGTTATTGGTATGTTACAGAAAAAGCTCTCTGTTATCTTTTTGTAATGGTTTGCCTAGTTTCTTTTTTTTGTCCCTGCCTATCCTTCCCCCTTGAAAATAAAGTGAGAAATATTTCCACTTGTGCCAGAATGTACCTTCACAGAGTTGGCAGAGGAATTCATTCATTTGGGAAATATTTATTGAGTAAATACTCTCTGTGCCAGACACTGTTTACAGTGGAGTGAAAGTTGAATAAGGCAAAAAATTTGCCTTTATGGGGTTCATAACATGAAGGGGGAGATGGTCAAAGATGAGAAGTTATGATAGATACAGGAGTTTGAGGGAGCCTGGAAGAGGGAACCTCTTACTCCAGCGGGACCTGGGGAATACCAAGTGGACAAGGGAGGGAAAGACTTCTGAAAGGAGGGAATAGAATGTTCATTATTGTCCCTGCTTCTGTGAAGCCCTAGTATGTGTGGGCTGGGGAGGGATATGTGGATATGCATCACAGGTAGTTTGTGCTATAGAAAAGGGTTGACAGGCTTTTTCTGTAAAAGGCTAGAGTAAATACTTCAGTTTTGAACCCATACAGTCTCCTTATAACTACTCGGCTCTGCCTTTGTGATCCAGAAGCAGCTGAAGACAATTTGTACCCAAATGGGTGTGGCTGTGTTCCAGTAGAACTTTTTTTTTAGAAATGGGCAGTGGGGTAAGATTTTACCAGAAGGCTATAGTTGCTCACCCCTGGCCTAGAAGGCCCTCTCCTCTCCTAGACACAGTGACCCAGTGCAGTGTTTTTTGGCAATCTTGAAATCTCATCCTGACTCCCTTTAAGTTTTACAAGATGGCTGGCCCATTCTGCAATGAGAAACTGTAATGTGTAACTGGCTGGTGGTTTGTGTGTTTCCTCATTTACATAGGTGGAGTCACAGTGTCTGTGGTTGCATTCTTCTTCACAATTAAGTTTCTCTTTGAGCTTGCCGCACGTGTAGTCAGCTTCCTTCAGAATGAGGACCGTGAGCGCCGAGGGGATCGAACTATTTTTGACTACGTGCGGGGAAATTACCTGGATCCACGGTCTTGCAAAGTCTCCTGGGATTGGAAGGACCCCTATGAGGTGGGCCACAGCATGGCCTTCCGAGTGCATGTAAGGGAATGTTTCTGTCTCTGTACCCACTGGGGTTTCTGAGTCACTTGCTTTCCAGAGCTCAGTTTAGTCTCGGTGGTGCTGACTGGAATGTTAACATTTTCCTTTGTTTTTCAGCCCCTCCCAAGAACTTGGGAATCAGTATCTAAAAAGTCATGAATTTCTCTATCCTTTTGGTTTACTAAGTACTTAGCATTAGAGAAGTAAAAGGCTTAATGTTAACCTTTTCTCTTTTTCTTTTTCTTTTTTTGCAGTACGGGGGATCAAACTTAGGACCTTGTGCTTGGTAGGCAGGGGAATGTTAACCTTTTCAGAGTAAAGAAAATACTAGAAAAGAGGTCTTGGCTGACAATAGCCTGAGGGCCAAATTGGGCCCTCCTTCTATTTCTTTCTTTCTTTCTTTATTTTCATTAAGTTTATTGGTACATTTTAGGTATACAATACAGTTACATTCATCATTGGGAACTTGTACCTCCCTCCTTCTATTCCTTAAATACGTTGTTACTGCAACATTGTCATACTTGTTCATCATGTATTGACTATGGCTACTTTCTCACTTGAGTAGTTAGGACACTTCAGTAGCTCTGTATGGTCATATAGCCAAAAATACTTACTATCCAGCACTGTACAGAGAAACTTTGCTGATTGCTTCAGTAACTTCTCCTTTATGACATATCAAGCTTGGCATGAGAGCCTAAACCCCTCCACTTTTGTCTGGTGCTTTGGTTCACTTGGTGCCATTCCTGGTATAATAAAAAGGGCTGAGAACACCAAAGAGGCAGAGTTTGTCAAGTTGGAATTGGTGTGTTCTTGATTTAGTGTATTCTGCCCCTGTCCTCTGCACAGGTTAAGAATTTGTTAATAACTTAATAGTTTTCCTTGATGTGCCAAGGCAATTTGTCTCTGTTTCTGTGAGCAGGGCTGTAAGGAGCCAAGCACTAGGGGTTTACTGCTGTGACCTCATCCACCAGTACCTCCTCTCTCTTCAAACTCTCTTATGTGGAAAAGTTTTCTCCTTTGCTCATTAATGGTTGCCTCTCTTCTCTCCCTGCAGTTGTTCTATAAGAATGGGCAGCCTTTCCCTGCACATCGCCCAGTGGGACTTCGAGTTCACATCTCCCATGTTGAACTAGCAGTGGAAATTCCAGTGACCCAGGAAGTCCTTCAGGAGCTCAATTCTAATGTCGTAAAGATAGCCTTCACTGTGCGCAGGGCTGGGCGTTATGAAATTACAGTGAAGCTTGGTGGATTAAATGTGGCCTATAGTCCCTACTACAAAACTTTTCAGCCTGGTAAGTTCATTGTTCTTTCTTTTTTCCCTTTCTCTCTACTCCCCCACCCTCTTATCCACCACCACCCATCCTTTTCTCCCACCCTGCCACCCCCATTTCTTCTTTATTTTGTCATTTCTCTTTTGGTGGGATTTGATGAGATTGAACCAAGGCCTCATGACTACTAAGCATGTACTTTGGCCCTCATGTACACCCCCAGTCTTCCCTTTGAGATTTAATTTAACATGCCATAAAATTCATCCTTTTAAAACAGACAATTTAATAGTTTTTAACAGACAGCCGTCAGTGTAGTCAATTTTAGAACATTTTCATTACCCCACAAAGAAAATCCTAAGTCATTAGGAGTCATTTTTTTTTTTGGTACCGGGGATCAAACTTGGGTCCTTGTGCTTGCGCAGCAGGCAGCGAAACCACTGAGCTAAATCCCTGGCCTAGAAGTCATTTTTGTCACCAAACCCCCAACCCTAGATAACAGTCTGCTACCTCAGAAGAGTTCCCTTCTCTGCACATTTCATATTAATATAATCAAAAATTTTATGACCAACTAGTTTTAAAGTGCTATAGCATGAATTTGGGCTGCATTTTTTTTTATTGCCATACAGTATTTCAGTTTATAGATATAGTAGGTGTTATTTATCCACTCATAAGCTGATGGACATTTGGGTTGTTTCCACTTTTGTTTGTTTGTTTGGGGTGTGTGTGTGTGTGTGTGTCTGTGCCCCCACCCCCTTGGGAATCGAAACTCAGGACCTTGTGCCTGTGAGGCAGGCAAGGTGCCACTGGGCTAAATCCCTAGGGCCTTTCCACCTTTTTTTTTTTTTTTGGTACCGGGGATCAAACTCTGGTCCTCTTGCTTGTGAGGCAGGTGGTGGAACCACTGAGCTAAATCCCTGGCCCTTTTCCACTTTTTCTAAGCATTGTGTATACGTGTGTGTATTACCGGGGAATCCAACCTAGGGCCTCATGCATGCTTGTTTCCACTCCTTGGCTACCAATAGTAATGCTACTGTGAACATTTGCCTACAAGTTTTTGTATGGATATGTTTTTATTTCTCTAGAAGTAGAATTGCTGCCCTTAGTCCGATAAGTTCTTAAGGGCTAAGAGCACTAGAGTAGACAGAAGATAAATTCTTCTGATTTTTTAAACTTTTTCAGGTAAAAAGTATATTGACCCAAATTCTACCCTATTCCAACACATTATACTTGTCACTGAAGAATGTCTCCCTACATTTCTAGTATCCAAGAATTAAGATCTTTATCTCTAATTTTTCTACCCTTTAGGTTTTTATGTCAGATAACAGATGCTCATTGACATTAAAGTCCCAAAATATAATCTCTGACTCTTGGTTCTATAACATGTATGTTTAGTTTGTTTGGGTCCAGAGTGCCTTCTGTGCCCTTCTTGGCTTTCTTTTGGGGGTGTCGTGAGATACTGGCTATTTTGGTATTTGCAGAATAATCCTTGGCTAACTTTGGGAATCAAATATTTTTTTTGTGTGTGTGTGTACCTGGGATCGAATTCACAACCTCATGCTTGCCAGGCAGGCACTGTGCTGCTGAGCTAAATCCCTGGCCCTGGGAATCAAATCTTAATGATTGGGGCCTTAGGAAAATTGGTGTATCTTTGCCCGCCTGGTCCTCAGTTTTCCTTGTTTTATAACAGAAGAAAACTCTGGACAAAGTAACTCCTGAGCCATCTCTCTCTCCACATATCTCCTTTGCTTGAATGCCCCTCTCAGAAGCTCCTTTACACATGAAGTGTCACCTCACCTCCTTGCCACTGATGCAAAACAGTTTATATCCTTATAATATGGACTAGCCCTTTTAAAAATTCAACTTTTTAGCCAGGCATGGTAGTGCATGCCTATAATCCTAGCACTTGAGAGGATTGCTGTGAGTTCAAGACCAACCTGGGCTACATAATGAGTTCAAGGCAGCCTAAACTACATAGCAAGACCCTGTCTCAAAAAACAAAAACAAACAAATTTGGCACCCCCCCACCCCCACCCCGTACCAGGGGTTGAACTCAGGACTTTGTGCTTGCCAGACAGGTGTGATGCCACTGAGCTAAATCCCCAGCCCTACAAATTCAACTTTTTATTTTGAGATAATTATATATTCACTTGCAAGTATAAGAAATTAAGAGATCTGGTGTACTCCTTACCTAATTTTCTCAATAATAACATCTCCCAAAACTCTATTACTATAGTGATATGGTATAGTAGCACAACCAAGTTTTTGACATGTTGCCTTTTTTGTAGCCATTCCTATTTTCTCTCTCCCACTGGGTTGTTTCTTAACCCCTGTCAACCCATTAATCTGTTGTCGTTTGAAGAACGTTATATAAGTAGAATGATATAGTGTGTAACATTTTGAGATTGACTTTTTTTTACTAACCACAATTGTCTAAACATTCATCCATGTTGTTGAAAATATGTATCTGTTGTTGGTTCCTTCATATTGGTAATACTGCATTTTATGAATGTCTTTTTTAATTTGTTCACTCATTGAAGGACATCTGTTTTGTTTATTCATAACAGTTTGGGCCTGTTATGAATAAAGCTGTTAATAAAAATCTATGAACGGGTTTTTATGTGAAGATGTTTCCACTTCACTGGCATAAATGTCTTAGACTTATGGTAGTTAAATCCTTAGTTTTTTAAAAAAAATTGTCAAACTCTTTTCTGGGATGCCTGTGACGTTTGTACATCCCACCAACAATGTATGCATCATTCAGTTTCTTCATATCCTTCTCAGCATTTAATATTGTCACTTTTTATTTTAGCCATTCTGATAAGTGTGTGTTTTAGTTGTAATTCCCAAATGATTAATAATACTAGGTATCTTTTCATATGCTTATTTGCCCTCTGTATCCTCTTTGGTGAAATGTCTCTTCATGTGTGTTGCCCACTTTCTAATATTTTTACTGTTGGATTTTGAGAGTTCTTTATTCTATATACTAGCTCTTTATCAAATATTTGGTTTGCAAGTATTTTCTCCAAGTCTGTGGGTTTTCTTTCCATCCCCTTAATAGGACCTTCTACAGAATAAGTTTTTAAATTTTACAAAGTCTCATCCACTTTTTCTTTTATGGTCATCCTTTTGGTATCTAAGAATTTTGACTAATCCCAGATTCCAAACATTTTCTCCTGTTTTTTCTAAAATTTTTATACTTTTACATTTTTTTTTTTGGTACCGGGGATCGAACTCAAGTCCTTGCGCTTGCGAGGCAGGCGGCAGAACCACTGAGCTAAATGCCCGGCCCTACACTTTTACCTTTTATATTTAAAATCATGACCCTTTTTAGTTAGTTGGATTGTGTGTTTGTGTGTGTGTGTGTGCGTGTGGGTGGATGTTTTGCTTGTATATATCTAGTTGTTTCAGCATCATTTTTTGAAAAGGCAATTTTTTCCTTCTCTGTAGTGCTTTTTACCCTTTGTCAAAATTCAGTTGGGTGGGATTTTTTTCTTTTTTTTTCTTTTTTGACACAGGGTCTCACTATGCAATTCAAGCTGGCCTTGAACTCATTTGAGGCACAGGCTGGCCGCAAATTCAAGGTAATTCTCCTGCTTCAGCCTCCTCCATGCTGGGATTATAGGCTTGTGCCGCTATGCCCAGCTAGTTGGGCATATTTGTGGTGGTCTGCTTCTGGATTCTGTTCCAGTGACCTCTGAGTGTCCCAAAGCAGTACCATATAGTAATTCTTGAAATTGGTAAGTTGGCTCTTCACATTATATTCTTTTCAAAAATGTTTTAGCTATTCTAGTTCCCACTTTTCCATGTATATTTTGGGGATTATGTCTTCTAAATCTATAAACAAACTGCTGGGATTTTAATAAGAATTGTGTTAAACCTCTATATTGATTTGAGGAGAATTAACCCTTGTACTATATTGAAGCTTCCAATTCACAAACATGGTACATTTTTTCATTTAAGATCATTTTAATTTTAATCAGCATTTTGGAGTTTTCAGCATACAAGTCTTGTATCTGTTTTGTTGGATTTTACTTCTTTTATGCTTTTTTTTTTCTTGATACTGAGGCTCAAAATCAAGACCTTGCACTTGTGAGGCAGGCACGGTGCCACTGAGCTAAATCCCTGGCCCTATTTTATGCTTTGTTAATCTTTTTTTTTGCTGTTGGTCAGCACTTATTTTTAAGATCCATCTCACAAGCAGGTTCGTGAGGGACTCTAACTGTATCTGGAACTCTCACTGCTGTTTCCTCCACGTTCTTTTTTTTGTTGTTTAATGCTGGCAGTGGTTAAGAATTTATAAAAAGGAGTCCCTAAAATTCATTTGAATGCATCTCTTTCCTTTCTTCTTCTCTCCTCTTCATAGTGTTTTACTTATGCCAGGGAATTGAGAAAGAATCTAGCTCTGACTCACTTAGTAGATCTAAGTATCCTAAAGAGCATCTCTCCCATCTCACTAAATGTCAGATTCTATTGTTTGTTCTAGGAGTGGTAGTTCCTTCCAAGACCAAAATTGTGTGCCATTTTTCTACTCTTGTGTTGACCTGTGGGCAACCACACACCCTTCAAATAGTGCCCCGAGATGAGTATGATAACCCTACCAACAATTCTGCATCCTTGAGAGATGAGCACAGTTACTGTTTGTCCATTCATGAGGTAAGTGGCCCCCTTCTTTCTCTTGTGTGCTAGGGAGAGAAGGCTCACCCTGTCATTCTTACCCTTTCTGATTCATTCCTATCTCTTCTCTTCTCCTTGCATTCTGCTACAGTATCTGACAGTACCTGTCTCATTTGTAATTGTGAGATGGAGACGGAGATAGGTGAAAGTTCTTTGTAAAGAGTAAATTGCTTTGCACATAGGAAAGACTCTGTATGTTAATTGATGGTTTGTTTTCTTCCTGTAGCTAGGCCCTCAAGAAGAAGAGAGTACTGGAGTTTCATTTGAGAAGTCAGTGACATCCAACAGGCAGACTTGCCAGGTGTTCTTGCGACTCACCCTGCATTCTCGAGGTTGCTTTCATGCCTGCATTTCATACCAAAATCAGCCAATCAGTAATGGAGAATTTGACATTATTGTCCTAAGTGGTGAGCTGAAAGCTGCAATTTAATCCTGTTCCCATGGTCACTTCTTTGTACATGTGCACGACTGACCCACCTGATAAATGTTTTAATATTGAGGCTATACTTGGCTTATTGTCCTGTAGACTAAATAACTTGAAATAGGTAATTTTTTCCTTCGCTGCTCCTACATTAAACCTTTTTTATGTTATACTTCAGAGAATGAGAGAAATATCGTCGAACGCAATGTGTCCACTTCAGGAGTGAGTATTTACTTTGAGGCATATCTTTATAATGCCACCAACTGTACCAGCGCACCATGGCACCTTCCACCCACGCACATGAGCTCTTCACAGCGCCGGCCCTCTACTGTTGTGGAGGAGGAAGAGGAAGACTCACCCTCGGAGTGCCACACCCCTGAGAAAGTGAAGAAACCAAAGAAGGTGTACTGCTATGTGTCACCAAAGGTTGGAACCCCCATTCTTGCCTTAGAATGTCTTTTCCTGAGCATGCATGTAATTAGTATTTGGTAACAGAAACTGAAGAGAAACAGTCTGAGTATCAGTAGGCAAGATTGTCCATTTGTAGGGTTTCTAGGACACAAAGAGGCTACTTAAAGGGAAGCAGAAGATTGTGCCACCTCTGCTGCTATAAGTGTTTGGTTTGGATGAAACTAAATCTCTGTCCAGAGGTTTTGTGTGCCTTGGCACCATAGAGCACCTTTGCCTTCTGCCCTTTGATTGCTTTGGGGAAGATTTTAAAGGCATGATTCTCAGAGCTGTAAAGAAAGCTACGTTTAGGGCTGGGGATTTAGCTCAGTGGCACTACTCCTGCCTTGCCAAGTGCAAGGTTCTGAGTTGGATCCCCAGTACTGGGAAAAAAGAAAGAAAGAAAGAAAGCTACTTCTCACCATTAAAATGTTCTCACTAGGGCTGGGGATTTAGCTCAGTGGTTCCAGTGCCTGCCTTGCAGGTGCAAGGTCCCAAGTTCGATCCCTGATAACAAAAAGGAAAAAAAAGTTCTCACTAGAATAAATTCCTTGTTCTATAGTGAAACAATTTGATCTTTTATTCTGTGATTTGTAAAATCATCTGTAGACCTAGAAGAAGTCATTCTGAGCAGTACTAGACTGAGCAGGAGATCTTGATTGTTTGCAGGTGAATGTTCTCTACTCACAAAGTGAAAACGGGATTCCAGGTATTTTGAAATTGTGGTAAGACATGAGTGTTAAGATTTTTAAAATGTCTCAGTGAAACTGCAGTGGCAGAGTAATAGTTTTATATTTGCCCTTATAAAGGTAGAACTGACGTATTTATTTAGTGCTGACTAAATGATCCTCCCCTTTTTTTTTTGGTACCAGGGATTGAACACAGGACCTTTCTCTTGCAAGGCAGGTGCGGCACCACTGAGCTAAATCCCCTTCCCTAAATGACCTTTTTTGTCCAGGGAAGAAAAGAGGTTATCATAAGAAATATAGAGATACTCTGGTACTGTATTTGAATTGTAATACCCAAAAAGAACCTTTTTATTTACCACTAACTTTCTTTTCTGTATGTTGGTCTTCCAGCAATTCTCAGTGAAGGAGTTCTACTTGAAAATCATTCCCTGGCAACTTTACACTTTCCGAGTATGCCCAGGAACAAAAGTAAGTTAATATTACATTAGATCATACTGGACAGACTTCCACCTCTGGGATGTTTCAGCCTTTTCATTTTTCCCAGAGGGCTTTCAGTTTTCTGGAAGTTTTCCCTGTGCACACAGGATTCATTTCCAAATAAAGAAAAGATCATTATCTCCTCACTAAGTGGCACAAAGAATCTGCAAATCCTGGAAGGACCTTGCCTACATGAACAGAAATTAGCAACTCAAAATACTTCACCAGTTAACCTTTGGCTTCCAGGACTAAGTTTATAGGAGGAATATTGGTAACTCTGGCCTAAACTTAATCTCCCAGTGTGCTGAATCTCATTCTTTCTCAGAAGTATTTTTGGGTTTTTTAAAAAGTTTCCTGGGCTTTTGAAATCTAAATTTTTATCTAAAAGGTTTATTGTGTTGTTTTATAAAAATCACTTTCTCCTAGCCAGTTTGGAGTAAATTTTGCTCTTTTTGAAAATATATCCTTAATACTTTTATTCTTCTTACATTCTATCCGAAGGTCTGTAGCATCACTTCTCAACCTTTTGGCTAAGATCAAGTGCAGAAGATCTGTAGCAGTGCCTGTAATCCTTACTTAAAGCTAATCTCTGAGACTCAAATAATTTAGAATAAAATATGAACTGTAGAACATTGAGGTGAAAAACACAAGGAGATGCACTTGTGGTAGGCAGTAACTCAGAGAAAACAGATTTATCTTGTTTTTGTTGGTGCCAAAGGGTGGTAATATGGAAGATTTTTACTGGGCTCAAGGGTTTTATAAATAACTTTTTTTTTCTTTTTCTAGTTTTCATACCTTGGCCCCGACCCTGTTCATAAACTCCTCACACTAGTGGTAGATGATGGCATTCAACCTCCTGTGGAGCTCAGCTGTAAAGAGAGGAACATTCTTGCAGCCACTTTCATCCGCTCTCTACATAAGAACATTGGTAAGGTTGGACAGGGATTTTGATTGGGAAGGCAGCAGCCCCAGCTCCCCTAGGTCCCTGAGAGTGTAAAAGTGGAACTTCACAGGTATCTACTAATAAGGCTACGTTCATAATGGATCTTGCTGCTCCTCAGGAGGTTCCGAGACCTTTCAGGACAAGATGAGCTTTTTCCAGAGAGAGCTTCGGCAGGTACATATGAAAAGACCACATTCCAGAGTCACCCTGAAGGTCAGCAGACATGCCTTGTTGGAATCGGTATGTAAAGTTTCATCTCTGTCAGCAGATGCCAAATTTTCCAACCTCTTTAGTATTTGGTTGTATCCTGAAAGTTACCTTTTTTGTGAAACCTGTATTACTTTCTTTAAAATCCATTAGAGACTGTTTTTCTCCATTATCCTGACATTGGGGCAGATAACATGTTAAGAGGTGTGTTACTAAGGGGAAACTGGATAGCATATTGGCTTTCAGGTCTTTGGGGGAACTAATGCTTAAACAGTCTCCTGTTTAGGGAGGTGGAAGTAGTAGTAGTTGTGGAAGAAAGTTCCTGTTATTGAATCCCAGGAATAGAAGGGCTCTTGTTGGAGGAAAAGGAAGTGATTTTTGTTGTCACTCTGGTCTGATGGAAAAGGAACACCTGATGTGTGTCTGTCTCCACTGCACAGACACTGACATGGGTCTGACATTCCCTAAGAATGAGAAGGCTTGGTCACTGTCCAGAAAGTGTTTGTGGTGTTTGGCTCTGGGAGGTGTGACTGGAAACCCCTTTTCTCAGCCACACTCTCCATGTGGCATGGCTCCCTGTCTGAACCTTGCCTTGTGCATAAAGACGTCTAGTGGATAGACTGTACTTTACTGAAAACCAGGACTCCTTGGTTCTCTTGCTTACAGTTTGCTGCCTTGAGTCATTGTTTTACTTTTGGCAAGAATTTTTCATTAATAAAATGAGCATTGTTTAAAAAAAATTTAGCTTTCCAATAAAGTGATAGTATAAAGACAAATTAGATTATTTTTTAAAACTTTAAGTTTCTTTCAGAGATATGTACATTTTAAGTATAAGAGGATATAATTAAAGCTTATCTGTGAGTAATATATCTCCTTCATGTAGTAGTGGCTAGCTCAGCAGACAGTAGTGGCAGTATTCTTGTGTGTCTGTCTTTAGCATCCAAGGGATGCCAGCCTGTGATCTGACAGTTCCCTTCCTTTCACTGCTTTCTAGTCTCTGAAGGCCACTCGGAATTTCTCTATCTCAGATTGGAGCAAGAACTTTGAAGTAGTTTTTCAGGATGAGGAAGGTCAGTTTTGAAATTTCACTTTTTTTCTTTAATTTTTTGGTCTACTTCCATCCTCTCTCTTACTCCCTTTCCACAGGGGAAGGGAAAAATCCACTCACCCTCCCATTTCCTAAAACAACCCAGCTTCCATATGTCAAAAGGAAAAAAAAAGGGCCGGGCATTTAGCTGAGTGGTTCCACCGCCTGCCTCACAAGCACAAGGTCCCATGTTCAATCCCTGGTACCAAAGAAAAAAAAGATGAATCAAAAAAGGGAAAAAAAAAGTGTTTACTGGCCAGATGGCATGGTAGAACTTGTAGAGCAGAGACCTGGGGGCCGGAGGGAGAGCTCCAAGAGCTTGAACCAGAAAGGCAAAGTAACCATTACACAACCAGGAGAAGTGTCCATTTTCTGACATCTCTGATCTTCTGTTTTTCCATTAGGGTAGTGATCCTAATAACTTTAATCCTACAGAGAGGGGTGGAATTTTTTTAAATGCCTACCATTTAGGTGCACTATAATGGAAAAACAGTAAAGTAGTAGAATGAAGGAAATGTAATAGAGTAAAATGATGGCTAAAGGAACAAAAAGGATAAGAGGAGGCAGGCCCTAGTCACCTTTTATTTTCATTATACTTTTCAGCTCTGGACTGGGGAGGGCCTCGCCGGGAATGGTTTGAGCTAATCTGCAAAGCACTATTTGATACCACCAATCAGCTCTTCACCCGATTCAGTGACAACAACCAAGCATTAGTGAGTCTGTGACTGCCCCATGGGTGGGTGATAAATGTAGATTATGTTATAATTAATACACAAAGTTTTGAAGTTTTGAAACTGACCTGGAGGTCTAAAAATCTGTGTCGTGTTATTAATTTGCTGCTTATAATGTGAGCTAATCAGATTGCCTCCCTCCTATTTGCCTTCATTATGTTATCTGTAAAATAAGAAAATACAGACAGTTGAATATTTGATGAAAAAGCAGTATAGTGCAGTGGCTCCTTTACTAATTCCAGTAATTAAGCCACTTCTCAAATCATTCCTGAGGTAGTTGATTACGGTAGCAGATCTTTGGCAAGGTAGAGATATCAGGAGTAGAGGAGTAGATGTTGGCTGCAAGAAGTTCTAGTTTAGAGAAAAGGCATCACAACATTCACTAATTAACTTTCATATGCATTCACTGATTAACTTTCATGTGCATCACAACATTCACTGATTAACTTTCATATACAACAAACTTACTCCAAGATTATTTAGCTTAATAAAAGTTTGTTGTTGCCTCTCTTCCTCCATTCACTTCACATTACTCAGTATCACCAAAAGACTAATGTCATTTTGATAGGCTTTTTGATTCTCGTGGAAATGTTTGCTTCCGTGGTATGTGTTAGTTTTCTGCTACTGTAACAAAATACTTGAGATAATTAGCTTATAAAGAGAAAAGGTTTATTTTGATTCATAGTTTTGGTGGTTTCCATCCATGACCATTTGGCTCCCTTTCTTTTGGTCCTGTGGCAAGGTACATCATAGCAGCAATGTGTGGCAAAACTATTCATCTAATGGCCAGGATGTGCAAGAAAGAGAGGAAGAAAGCAGAGTCACAATCTTCTTCGGGAGCCTGTGCCCAGTGACCTAAAACCTTGCAGAAGGCCCAACCTCTTAAAAGTTACCCTTCCTTGGGCCGGGGATTTAGCTCAGTGGTTCCGCCATCTGCCTTACAAGCAGAAGGACCCGAGTTAGATCTCTGGTACCCCCCCCCCCCGCCCCCAAAAATGTTACACTTCCTCTGTGTAATATCATGGGCTAGGGACCTATCCTTTAATGATTGGACCTTTGGGAGACATTCCAGATCCAAAGTATAACACATGAGTTTGGGGAGGAAAGATCTTTCCAGAGCTAAGCTTGAAAAATGGGCCAGGGCCTTTCATTTTCTTTCTTTGACAGGTGCATCCCAACCCTAATCGCCCAGCTCATCTGCGCCTGAAGATGTATGAGTTTGCAGGGCGGCTGGTAGGCAAGTGTCTTTATGAGACCTCTCTAGGAGGAGCCTATAAGCAATTGGTCCGAGCTCGTTTCACCCGTTCTTTCCTGGCCCAAATCATAGGACTACGAATGCATTACAAGGTAACCTGTTAGGTATGCATTTTCTACTGAGGGTGCCTGGCCATTAACTGGGACACTCCATCTGAGCTGATGTTTTTGTAGTTGTTTTGTTTTTTGGTGTTTTGAGACAGGATCTTACTATGTAGTTCATGCTGGCCTTGAACTCACTATGTATCCCAGGATGGCCTCAAATTCACAAAAATCCTCCTGCCTCAGCCTCCCAAGTGCTGGGATAACAGGCATACACCACCATGCCCGGCTGAGCTGGTATTTCTTAAGGTTGAAGGGATAATGAACCCCAACCAGTTACAGATTTCATTTCTATGCAAAAGTGTTCATGTTCTGCTCTGTGTCTGTCTCCTCAGTACTTTGAAACAGATGACCCTGAATTCTACAAATCTAAAGTTTGTTTTATCCTCAACAATGACATGAGTGAGATGGAGCTGGTCTTTGCAGAAGAGAAATATAACAAAGCAGGTCAACTGGATAAGGTGAGAAAGAGGACCAAAGCCTGTGTGAATCCTAGGCTGTGTTCCCCAGGTCCCTCTAGGGCAGCAGTGTCTCTAGAACTTTCTGCAGAGATGGGATGGTTCTGAATTAGTGTTATTTTGTACTCAAAATATGGTTAATATGACCAAATAACTGAGAGGTCGATCTTTGACCTCCGCTGGGAATCACGTGTGCAGACTGGGAGCGGAAAGGATGGAAAATTAATGCAAAACTTCATGATGGAATATGTCAGCATTGTGAAGAAGTTCTTGAATGGTGGGTAAAATACAGCAAATATAAACCATTATCAAAACCTAAAAAATGCGTTAAATGTTTACAGAAGACCGTGAAGGAGTCTTACCACATAATGTGTAGACCATGTGCCTGTGAACTTGAAGTCTGTGCGAAATGTGGAAAGAAGACATTGTTATTCCATTTAATAAAGAACCAGAAAAGACAGAAAATAATCAAAGATCCAATCATAGAAGAAGCTGCAAAAGGAATGAAGAAAGTGATGACTTAGATTTTTATAATGATTTAGATGACACAGGTGAAAATCAAGTGGATTAATGTAATGTACATTAAAAGTCAGTCTAGGAATGTGAAATTCTGATCATTTTTTGCCTTTGACAGTGTCACACAAAAAAATACTGTTAAATCCCAATGAGGAAGTCAGAAAAAGCTATAGAAAATAGGCAAAAGTCATATAGGAACAATATGAAATAGGTATGATATTTACGTAATTGTAAAACTTTTACCTAGAGTTGTCTTAAAATTTTAAGTTGCACATACTAGGATACCTGCCAAAAAGCAGATAAAATCAGGGTGTCATGGTGCAGTTCATGGGATTACTTAGAAGAATGTATTACCTAATATCAAATTTAATAATATTCAGAATTCGTGCTTGTATAAACTATCTAAGCCAAGTGTGATGGCACATGCCTGTAATCCCAGCACTCAGGAGGATTGCTACAAGTTCAACGCCAGCCTGCACTACATAGTGAGTTTAAGGCCAGCCTGAACTACACAGCAAGACCCTGTCTCAAAAAAACAAAAAAAAAAAAAAATACAAAAACTATCTAATGTAAAACTAAGAGAGATGATTTTAATCAGCCTTAAAAAATTAGTCCATGGTGGGACCAGGAATTTAGCTCAGTGGTTCTGCTGCCTGCCTCACAAGCACAACGACCCGAGTTCAATCTCCGGTACCAAAAAAAAAAATTAGTCCATGGAAAGTACCTTTTAGTGATTGATCCTCCAATACAAAAAGATCCACTTGGCCAAAGCCCCCTTACTTAATGTTTACTTGTTACAAAGCAAAAAGTTTATTCTTTAAAAATAATGTTTATCAAATGTATAGCAATTTTTCTCAGGTTTTACGTTTTTCCTCTTGTGAAATATACATTAAAAATGCATAGAATTTATAGGTATAGTTTAATAAGTAATTATAAAGGAAATACATACCATTTACACATGGAGGAAGAAACCACCAGCAGCAGAAGCTCCCCGAGGGGCTCTCTGTCATCACCGGTTCACCCTTCTTCCCTACTCTGCCCTGTGCCAAATTTTGATGATTATTTTCTTTATCATTTAGTGCCCAAACTACTCGAAAGCAGTATACATTAGCTTTGGCTGATTTTTAACCCTTTCCTATTCTTTTATTTTGAAAAATCTCAAACCTGAAGGAAAGTAGCAAAGAAGTAAACTGAACCTTTTCATGCTCAATTCCAGTTGTTAGCATTTTGTCATGTTTTCTTTATAGACCTATAGATGGGTATTTTATATGCTGAACTGTTTAAAGCATTGTTTTTGAAATTTATATGAACAAACTTACACTATGTATATTATTTTGTCTCTCATTTTTATAAAGTTTGGGAGATTGATCCATTTTGTGACAGTTTTTTTGGTTTGTGTTTTTTTTGGTGCTGGGGATCGAACTCAGATCCTTGTGCTTGCACAGCAGGCTGCGAAACCACTGAGCTAAACCCCCGGCCCCGACTGATCCATTTTGTTATAAAAGCTGTATTTATTTTTTTAAAAATATGACCAAATTTGAATTTGAAATATGAATTTCTCATTTCATCTTAATTTAAATTTAAGTAACTGCCTGTGCCTAGTGGCTTCTTTATTGGACAGTGTACCTTTAGAGTATTGCATCCCACACCATTTAAGATTGCAGTCATTTTGTGGGGCAGAGGGGTTGCTAGGGATTGAACCCAGGGCATCACACATGGTAAGCATGTGTTCTTCCACTGAGCTACATCCCTAACCCTGATCTCGCCCCATCTGAGTGGAGTAAAAGACATATGTACCCATCTATCCCATACATTGTTCTTTCCAGTTGAAAAAGAACTGAGTGATAATGAAAATGTCACTGTTTGAGCAGATTTGGAAAGGATAGCAGTGTCTGTGTCAACAATTAGCACTGGTGATGTAGAGATTCCTGTTTTAACACCGTGCATATATATTTTAAAACTTTTTATTAGGCAGTTATTGACCAGTGATATTTTTGATGCAGATGTTTGTCTGTTTGTATTGTGGGGGTTAAACAATGTCAAATGATAACAATGAAGCTAAAGTTGCAATAATAAATATTTAAAAGCAAATTAGCAATGATTGAAAAGTATGACTACTGGTGCCACTGTGCTGATAACCAGATTTCCTTTCTGGATGATTGGAATGCTGCTGTTTGCCTTTGCACACAGAAGGTCAGAGCCTCTTTGAGAGCTGGTGTAACAAAGCAGCTACTCAGTAGAAGACTAAGAGACAGCATGTTGGGAACAGGATGTTACTCGACAGCAGGAATTCTCCTAAGGTTTCTTTTTTTTTTTTTTTTGATACTGGGGATGGAACTCAGGACCTTGCGCTTGCGAGGCAGGCGGCAGAACCACTGAGCTAAATCCCCGGCAGACAGCAGGAATTCTTAATGGATTTAAAATGTAGAATTTAGCCAGGTATGGTCTTTATACCTATAATCCTGGTTATTTAGGAGGCTGAGGCAGGAGGATTACAAGTTCAAGGCTAGACTGGACAATTAGCCAGACCTGTCTCAAAATAGGGTAGGATAGGATAATAAAATATAGAATAAAGGGCTGGGGATATAGCTCAATGGTAGAGCACTTGTCTAGCATACACAAAGCCATGGATTCAGTGCCTACTACTACCAAAAAACAGAACTTTATTACTATGGCTAATTCTAGATATTTATTTTATGTGAATAAGCACTCTAGCAGCTAAAGAAATAAATTATTACTATTTAGTAGTCACATTAGGCATAATTAAAATGAGCCAGTATGTTGTCACCAGGACCTAAAAGTCTGATCTTTTTTTTTGGTACCGAGGATCGAACTCAGGACCTCCTTGCGCTTTCGAGGCAGGCACCAGAACCACTGAGCCAAATCCCTGGCCCCTTGATCTTATAACTAAGAGGAGGCTTTCATTTTCCTATGGAGACAACTTTCGTCACTGTACATAAATTTGCTGCCTTGCAAGCAGAAGGTCCCAAGTTTGATCCCCGGTACCAAAAAAAAGAAAAAGCTACATGTATAGCTTAGCTGACAGTGTGTAATTATGCTGTTAGTGGAATATAGCAGACAGATACCTTCTTATAACCTTTCAACCACAGTGTCTCCTTGTTTGTCTTTTGCCTCCTATTTCAGGTTGTAGAACTCATGACAGGTGGAGCTCAAACGCCAGTCACCAATGCAAATAAAATCTTCTATTTAAACTTGCTGGCCCAGTACCGGCTGGCCAATCAAGTGAAAGAGGAAGTGGAGCATTTCTTAAAAGGTGGGATCCTCTCTCCTATTGGCCTTGAAGCTAAAATGGCTGTATCCATGGTATGAATGTGGTTTTAACTTGTCTACTTTGTTTCAGGCTTGAATGAGTTGGTTCCTGAGAACCTTTTGGCAATTTTTGATGAGAATGAGCTCGAGGTATGTTGGAACTAGCTTGCTACACTTCAGCTAGGAGGTACAGCAAGAAAGCTGTTATGGAAGAGTTGGGTTCACTTTTGTCACTCTTAAACTCATTTGACCCATTTTTTTTTCCTTTCTTTAGCTTTTTAAAAAATTAGAATGTGAAAATCAGAAAGCAGCAAGTAGTTATTTATGAAAAGTACTAATATTCATTGTTCATCAAGTATTATTACTAATACCGGGTGTGGTGGTGCACATGTGTAGTTCCAGCACTGAGGAGGTTGAAGCAGGAGGATTGCTTCAAGTCTGAGGCCAGCCTGGGCCCCATAGTGAGTTCAAGGCCAGCCTGAACTGCATAGCAAGACCCTATCTCAAAAAACTTAAAAGACAAAAGAAAGTAAAGTATTACTACTGCTGATTGAGTAGTAAATAATATTGGTGTCAGGCCAGGGATTTAGCTCAGTGGCACTGCACCTGCCTTGCAAGCACAAGGTCCTGAGTTCGATCCCTGATACCACAAAAAAAAAAATAAAGAATATTGGCGTCATGTATGGTCTTGTTAAAATTTTACCACATTTAAGGAAATACTAGGATGTATTTGTTCAGGTATTGAGTGTTTCCTGTATGCCATGTATTTTAAGGTATCAGAAAGATAGCAATGAATAAGACAAAGTTTCAGCCCTCATGGCTGCTATCTCATAGTGGAGGAAACAAACCAGAAGATGTAATTGTATTTCACAGTTGCGGATCACAACACTGTATATATTTTTGCGTACATATAGCAAATTCATATTTTAGATCCTGTAACAACCAAAAGTGCCTATAAGATGGTAAATACCATTCTTACAGTTAGCTGAATTAAAACCCATATGAAGTGTGGACAAAATAATCAGCTTCTTTTTACTTTCTGCTGATAGATATAGTGCAATTTATTAGTTTTAACTTCCCATGTTTGTTTTTTTTTTGGTACCGGCGATCGAACTTGGGACCTTGTGCTTGCAAGGGAGGCACCAGAACCACTGAGCTAAATCCCTGGCCCTAACTTCCCATGGTTTTTATGAGAAGTGTTTCCTATAATGAGGAAGTTCTTTTAAAATGGGGCAGGGGACAAAGAATTAAAAGAATCATACCACAGTGATATATGTGCACCCATGTTCATAGCAGCACAGTTTGTAATAGCTAAAACTTGGAAACAGCCCAAATGCCCGTCAACTGCAGACTGGATAAAGAAAATGTGGTATTTTTATAAAATGGAATACTACTCAGCCATAAGAAATGAGAAATTAGAGACATTTATAGCTAAGTGGATGCACATTGAGGCAATACTCTTAAGTGAAATAAATAGGACACACGTGTGTAAATACTGAATAGTTTCTCTGATGTGAGAAACTGAATGTGTAAATAAGGACTAAATGTATAATAGGTCATGTGAAATAGGAAGAAAAGGGGCAAAGGGGAAGGAAGTGGGAGGGCTAGGGGAAAGGACAGAAGGGAATGGGATTAATATGAGAAAATGGAAAAATAGGAACAAAATCTTTGTAAATAGGGAGGAATGGAGGGGTTGAAGGGAGGGCTGGGCAAGGGTGAATAATAAGAACCAAGAGAGACTATGTAAAGGTGCAAATTTCCACTGATGAATGTCATTATATTGTATACCTAAAATGTACCAATGATTAGAATGAATAATTGATAATGTAAAATAGGAAGAAAAGGTCCAAAAGGGTAGGGGTAGTGGGAGGGGCAGGGGAAAGGAAAGAAGGAAAAGGAAAAATGATGAGAAATGGAAAAAATGGAAATAAAGTCTTTGTAAATAGGGAAGGGTGAAGGGCGTGAAGGGAGGGCTAGGAATGGGGAAAAAATAAGAACCAAGATGCATTATGTAAAGGTACAATTCCCAATGAGAAATGTAATTGTGTTGTATACCTACAATGTACCAATAAAAGAATTTAATACAAAAAAAAATGGGGCAGGGGGGTCATTTCATGTGGTCTTGTGGAATTCTTATTCTTATGAACTGAACTGTTTTAAAGAATAAGAATCAAAGTCTTCAATCTTCATCACCTTTTGTACCTTCAGGTATAAAATCCAAATAAATAAATGTATGTCTCAGCCTAAGTTTCTGATAATCCCATCACCTTTTGCTGTTGTTTTGGAGGGCTGACAAATAGCTTTTAGTGTATTTTATGTTATCATGAAGCAAACATCTGTAATACTGTATAAAAGTAAGTAGAAAGGAAGAGCATACCCTTGTCTCTTAGTAGCTCTGCACCCTATTCATAATTATTCATTCACCTAGCAAGTTCTGTCTGGAGGAGCCAAGGCTCCTCAGACTTAATTGGGGCTTATCTTGTCTCTTGATGAGAAGGTATCATTCTTTATACCTATTGGATGAGTATTCACAGTTTTCCAAGTACCATACTGGATCCTGAACCAAATTAGGACATCAACAGATGTTTAGGGCTCTAATGTCATTAATGTCCTCATTTTTTGGCATAATTTTTAGTTTATCTGATCAAGTAGAAATAGGGCTAAAGGAAAGGTAGGGATTTAATCTACAAAAGGAGCATTCCTGGGGAAAAGGAAAAGCTATCTAAAAATTCATAAATGGGCCTGAGGCTCTTCTTCAAAGGGAAAGGATTTGCCTGTTCTCCCTGGTATTCCTAGGCTGAGTCCAGAGCAGATTATCAGTATATACTTGGTTTCTCTTTTTGCCTTTGTTTCAATTCAAAAGACTCCACAGCAACAGTTCTTCAGGCGTGCTCATCAGAAATAACTGGGAAACTTTCATGTTGTATAAGCTCATGACTCATCTCAAGAGGTTCTAATTCAGTAAGTGTGGAGTAGGACCACAAGCATCTATTATTTTTTTAAAACACTGGATTTTTTACCATTGGTTAGGAACCGTTGGCCTATTGCAGTTGATTCTCCTAAAACAGAGTCTTGGCATTGTGACCTTATCTGTCTTTTTCCCGGTGTTGTCTTTATTTTGTATTTTTGTGTTAACACAGATAATTCTGACTGTATAGTGGATCTCAGTTCTCTGAATGGTCTAGTAACATGAGATCATCTTTCTTTAGTTGCTGATGTGTGGAACTGGAGACATCAGTGTGTCTGACTTTAAAGCCCATGCAGTGGTTGTTGGTGGTTCATGGCATTTCAGAGAAAAGGTAAGTGGGCCGAATTTCCATCAGTTGGATTTGTGCCTTGTAAGGAAAGAGAAAGATAGAGGACTAAAGCAGACATGTTGACAGGGAAAAAAAAAATGATACATGTGGGAAAAACAGATGGTTGACCAGGCAGAATGGAACCCTGGTTCCTAAGTGCTTAATACAAACTGCCACAGGAGCAGTAAATTGGAAATGCAAAGAAATAGAACGAAGCAGTCAGCAATTATGCCCAACTGTATGACAGTGTAAATGCATTGGTTGTCAACTCTTAACCATTCCTACCTCTGTCCTCATAGAACTATAAACTGGAACAAAGTCCAACTGAAAGGTGTCTTATTCCTTCCTCCAAGATTCAAATCCTAGACTGTTACCATCTGTGGTTCCAACCTTGTACTCTCCCTGCCAGGTTATGAGGTGGTTTTGGACTGTGGTTTCCAGTCTAACCCAGGAGGAGTTGGCTCGGCTGCTTCAGTTCACAACAGGTTCTTCTCAACTACCGCCCGGAGGCTTTGCTGCCCTCTGCCCCTCATTTCAGATTATTGCAGCACCAACCCATAGCACGCTGCCTACTGCACATACATGGTGGGTATCTGACTGTCTGATGCATGCCCTTATAAGAGATAATCTTTCCAGCTGTTGCCAGTGTTTCTGGTAGTATGAGTTAATCACTTCTCCTCTTGCCATTCCAGTTTTAACCAGCTGTGCCTCCCTACGTATGACTCATATGAAGAGGTGCACAGAATGCTGCAGCTGGCCATCAGCGAGGGTTGTGAGGGCTTTGGCATGCTCTGACCACTCGCTTGTTGCCTACTTGGCACCCATGCTTTCTGGAGCATCTGGGCACGTGTTACAGACATAATCACTGTCCTAACACGCATAACCATCAGCCAGAAGATGCCACATGCTTCCCTCTGTCTGGATTCTTTTGTCACCTGCAAGCCTTGTCCTTACCTCATATGCAGCACAGGCCACTTTGGCATGGTACCTAAACTGAGCTCTTTGGTCATTCAGGAGAAGACCATGCTGTTGTCGTTTGATTTGGTTCTTTGAAGATTTCACTAGCTGAATCTGCCTCAGAGGCTGAAGATAACACACAGGGCTTGGCCCTGTTGGGAAGCACATGTGCAGAGAGCCTCAAGTCATGCCTTACTTCAGCTCCCTGTGCTAATGCTTCTGGAAGGTACTCTCTTGGCCCTCACTGCTTGACCAGATGGGTATGAGTCCCTCTCCTGGACAGGTGATTGCTGCTTCCTGTCAGCAGGCAGGACAAACATGGAGGGAAAGTGGTCTATTTGAGCAGTCTTTGATTTTGTCCTCCCACGCAATGCAACACAGACCATGGCGCTGCATTACTTCTCATGAGGACTGATAGCACAAAGGATTTTTTTGTATGTGTGTGCTATCAGAACTGGAAAAAACACTTTCCCTGCAGGCATTTCTGGAAATGATCATTAATCCATAAAGAAGAACTTTGAGCTTTTTTTGAATTTGAGCCCATGAGAAAAGCAGTCAGACTGAAGATGTGAAGGACAGTTGAGCTGCAGCCTGCAGTGCTGGATATGATTCTTCCTTAGGGTGAGGTGTATGTCCAGGCACGTGGCTAGCTTGAAGACTACTAATGCTGTCCCTGAGTTTATTCTTAGCACTGAGATGTGTCTGGGCCTGGCCATTGACTTTCAGTTACAGTCTCTTAAGATCTGGGAATCTTTACCATTCCACTGAAGAAAGTTTGGTAGCAGAGGACTGGGATGGTAAGAATAACATGCGAGCAATTCCTCATCCCTTTGCTTGGTGTTCCCTGGTAGCACTGAGGCAAGGCAAAAATGATCACAGGTACTTCCCTTAACTCCATCAGTTACAGGAAAGGGAACTATAGAGGGAGGAAGCTACTGTATATTAGGTTCACTGTTGAGTGTTGATTGAAGAAAAGCTGCCACCATCTCTTAGAAGATGACAACATCTTTTTTCATTATTGTTTGAAAACAGTTTAAAGCTCAACATCACATTGACTTCCCAAATTTCTGTTTTGAAGATGGCTCTGCTGCAAGCTACCATTCCCAATGGGACACTCAGCTCTGAGACTATTATAAGCCATCTTTATTGCCAAAACCAGCAAGTACACAGAGTCCTGAGACAAGGCAGGACTTGTGGCAATGCCTTGGCCTCCTGGAAGCATGTCTGAGCCCTCCTGTTCCCAGGGATTATGAGGAACAAGCCCTCCTGAGCTGCTACAGTTCCTATGACCTCACTTCTTTGCAGTCATCATTTGTCCTTTCTTGGCGTGGATGCTGACCTCACTGATCCTGGGGGTCTTGATCCAACATCAGGGCCTCTATACCCCAGGATTCTCCATGCCACATGGTCACTGCTCTCCTCAGGGACCAGGACAAGGTGCTGCTGCTTGTTCATGTTTTCCTCACGGGATATGTATGGGAAAGCTTGGTCATCATGCTGTCGCCCCTCAGGCTCAGATAGGGGTTTCCAGCTGGGGCATGTGGGCTAGTTCTGCTGATTTTGGCAGTTGGTCCTCTTTTGGATTCCACATTACCCCCTTCCACAGACAGCCCTGCAGAGACCAGTGCTGGAGATTGAGTTGATTTTCTTGACGAGATCTGTTATTTTAAGTTCTAGTCATAGCGTATTAGTGGCATGGCTGCACCCTAGCTGGGGCAGCTGCATCCGTAGGGGGGTCTGTAGGTACCAGGGACTATTTAACAAAACCCTTTTATAAGCTAGGCATGGTAATCCCTGCATTCTTGGAATTGAGGCAGAAGGATCACAGCTTTGAGCCCAGCACGGGCAACCTAGCAACTTAGTGAGACCCTGTCTCAAAATAAAAAATAATACAAAAGAGTCTGGGGATGTAGCTCAGTGCAAAAGGCCCTGAGTTCAATCCCCAGCACTGCAAAAAGAAAAGGCAAAACCCTTTGGTACTATTGTGGTTTTCTATTCTTCCAGTTTACTCTCCCCCATTCTGTTCAAAAGTGTCTTTGCTCCTATTGGCCTGTGCTTTTACTTGTTTTTCCCCCCTAATCTTGCTTTGGCACTATTCAGTATGGGGGCAAGGTACATGTTGGTGAGAGAAAGAATGTGTTATTTGGGGGGACATTTTTCTATTCATGTTTCTTATTTTGGTCACTTCTTTTACTTCTGCCCTTGTGGCTTAGATACATGAGAGACCAGCTACCCTCCAGGCCTTTTAATGTCTTTGAAGGAGACCAGGCCTCAAGTAGACACCAAGGAAGAATGTCAGCATGGTTCCAGAAATTTGGCAGAGACCAAGCCCTATTGCATACGTCAGGCCAGGTGAAAAGGCCTGGCATTTATAGCTGGTAATGTAAATATTTTGTACAATAAATAAATGAATGTCTAAAAGAACTAAAGATCAAGTGACTGTTGGCTTTCAGTGGAAGTTCAGGATTTAAATTGAAGATGGTGGAGAAAAACATGTAGATGTGCTTTGGTCGGCTCAACATAAACTACCTAGAGCCTGTTCCACAGCTTGCCCTTTCCCCCTGCCCTGCTGCCTCTCCACAGTGTCAGGCTGCTGGGCCACCCTGCTCATGGTCCCAGACAACCATCCAGGAGGCAAGTGCTTGCACTCAGCTCTTAAAGAAGAAACTGGTTTGGCCAGAGCAGAGGATATCTATTTTCAATCTTTAAAGATTTGTTGTTGATTTATTACATAAGAAACTCAGTATAGAAAATTTTTAACACTTTGGTATATAGCCTTCCAGTTTTCATAGAACACATTTATTTATCAGCATCTCCACCACCACCCCTGGGGGTTTGCATGTGACAAACAAGAGAAACACTACTAAAAGTTTGTGGGTGGCAGTTGGTACCACTTCTTTTTCTTTCTTTCTTTCTTTGTTTCTTTCTTTCCTTTCTTTCTTTCTCTTTCTTCCTTTCTTTCTTTCCTTCTTTCTTTCCTTCCTTCCTTCCTTTCTTTCTTTCCTTTTTCTCTTTCTTTCTTTCCCTTCCTTCCTTCCTTCCTTCCTTTCTGTACCAGGAATTGAACCCAGGGCCTTGCCCTTGCCAGGAAGGTGCTGTGCCACTGAGTTACATTCCTAGCCCCTACCAGTTCTTTTTGAACCAAAGGTAATGTTGGTAGAGAGATAAGACTTGTAATTTGGGCCCAGAAGGAAAAATTTAGGGACCCTGACTTTCTTAGGGTAGCAATCATCATGTCTTGAACGTTGGACTCTAATCCAAAAAGGCAAATCAGAATACCCTTTGAATTTTTTAAAGAGATACAGATTATTGCCCCTACCCCCTAGATCTAGTGAGTTGGAATCTTAGCTTGAAAACAAAATTTGTTTAGTACACACTCTCAACTCCTACTTCATCAAGTTCCTTGAATGATATGTCTTAAAAAATAAGCTTTAGGGCCAGGGATTTACCTCAGTGGTTCCAGCACCTGCCTTGCAAGCACAGGGTCCTGAGTTCGATCCCCAGTACTAAAAAAAAAAAATTTTTTTACCCATCAACTGTTACATTTTTAGATTATTTACAATCCTACATCTTTTACATTTGCTGTTTTTGTGGCTTAAATAATTCACTGTGAACATTAACCATTTGATTTCATCACAGTCATTCCTATGATTTAAGAGGTTGATTGAATTACTCTTGAATTTACACAATAACTACTATCTCTAGCCTTTTGTACACTGTCATTTCTGAGCAATTGCAAACAGCAGTTTCAGACTTCTGTCCAGCTATGTTCCCTCAGGACTACAGTAGAGGAGGATTTTTCCAGCAAGTGTTAAACCCAAAGAGTCCCTAACCACTACTTTGATTTCACTTGGATTCTTGAGCAGAGCAGACTAGTTCTGCATATCTGGCAATATTTCTATTAAATGAATAATTTTTATTTAAATGTTGAGAAGTAATATGTACAAAAAGTATACAGGCATGTACAAGTTATTAGCAATAATAAACACATATAGCCACCATCCAAGTCAAGAAGTAAAACACTGCAGCCAGGTGTGGTGGTGACACTTGCCTGTAATCTCAGCACTTGGGAAACTGACAGGAAGATTGCTACAAGTTTGAGGCCTGCCTGAGCTACATAATGAGACCCTGTCTGAAAAAAAAAAAAGTAAAACATTGCAACATTGTAGAACACAATCTTACCCTATTCCTTACATAATGATTGTCCCCATAATTATTTCATCAATGCAATTTGAAAGAACCTGTTCCAAACATCACAGGGGGAGAGAAAAAAGAGCCTGTGCAGTCTCTTGGTAAGGTGCTAACTAAGGTCTGTTTCTCCACAGTAATTACTAGACCTTGTGATTGTTTTTTAAAAGTCTTCTGAGATTATCTCTGCTCTGTGAGAATCTAATCCAGATTCCTGGTGCTGAACCTAATTAATTATACTCTAAGACTATAAGGGCACTGTTTTTGCAAAGATTTTCTCCTCAGATACTCCAAACTGGATATTCCTTTCCATTTAGGCGAAGTTGTGATTCTCTGGTGGTCAGCAGGACATTCTTGAGTATCATATAAATTTAGTAGTATTGAAAATGACTCAGCACTAAATTGTCTCAAAAACTGTGGAATAGACTAGTATTCCTGACTCAGAATACTAAATCTTGTACAACTAACAGAAAGCTAAAGTTATTGGAGAGCTGTTTGGTTTTGCCTCAATTTTCATTGAAATGGGATGATTTCCATATCTGCTAGGAGTGTTTGATGATCTTGGTTTATCTAAGATAGAATAATGCTTCCTAGAGTTGGGATATGCTTTGCTATGAATACCTCCCCCTCCTCCTAGAGTCAATTTGCTTTAATTTTGCTTGTGTTTATATAAGAATACTTTGTGTTAGCCGTGAACATTGAACTCAGATGTGGTCTCTACAGGGTGTTCAGTGAATTCCTGTCATTAAGGAGAGGTAGGAAATAAGGAATGATAGCTGTTGACTTTTTGCTGTGATATCAGAGGTGGCTTTAGTAAAGTTGTCTAGGCTGTCAGTATAGCCTTGACTTGTCAACACCGGCCAGCAGCAACAGCAGCTTTATTTTTTATGTTTACTATTTTGGTTTTTCGAGACAGGGTCTCGCTACATAGTTTAGGCTGGCCCTGAAGCCACTATGTAGCCCAGGTGCAGCAGCTTCAAAAATGAGGTGGTGACAGTGAATACCTCTAGGCAAAGTACAGATCCATAGCATCCAATCATCTAGTTCCCTTTAGGGAGATGACAGTTTATTCAGGATGAAGCCCGTCAGTGTGGTTTGCTGCTTCTATTAAGCAGGCCACCATAGACTTTATAGTCTGATAGCCATGAATGCCTTAGACCAAGTTCATTTGGAAAACCAAGCATATTTCTGAATGAGCAAGTTCATAAGACTTTATCTTTTAGGGATGACTAGAAAGAAGTCAAGCTTGGACTGGAGGTAGGATAAGAGAAATGTCTTCTATAAACCTATGCCCTTGGCCTGGTGGCCTATCCTGATAACAGGCACCTATTTGTATCCTGTTTCTGTCCCAAGGGCTCCTGAGTCTGCAGCCAAGACATGTCATTTTGTGCTTTGTCAAAGAAAATGTCCTTGGACACTTGGATTGAATGTGCGAAAATACCTTCCGACTATAGAAAACCATGAATTGATGAGCTTAAATGTTCACATTTTATTTTTAACTCTTGAAGTTCAACTGACCAAGACACACTTTTTTCCATATCAGTTTCCTAATCTGTAAAATGATGTTGCTAATTGAATAAGGAAATTATTGTGGAGCTCTTTGAAAAAAAAATCTTATATATAATATTGTGTTACCATATTGACCATGGCTTAGGGCCCTAGTAGTTTCCATGGCAAAGAGGTTTTATGGTTCTGGGGGCAATTTAAGGTGCTTAGTGTGAATGACAGGTATGGAAATTCAAAAGAGGTTGTGACTTCCTTATTAGGTCTGGGCATGCTAGAGAAAACGAGTATTCAAGACACCTAGTCCAAAGGCCAGAGGAGATACTTGAGGGGGCTCCACCTCAAACCTGCCATGTGGGAGACAACATGATAGACAATCCTAGTACCTTTGACTTCTTAACTCATCTGCTTACCAAATTGTTATAATAGCCACCATTTTTGAAACTTTATATGTTGAGAGCTTTAATATACATTATCATATTTACAGTGATATTACAAGGTAGGTCTTATTTTCATCATTTTATACAAGAAACAGTTGAACGAAAAGTGAAAGTAACTGCCAGGGTTCCTTAGCTAGTAAATGGTAGAGCTGTGTTTAAACATAGGTCTGTCAGACCCCAAACCACATTTCTGGTTCATCTCTAGCAGATTAGACCCAGAAAGTTCAGACATTGGGCCACCAGTGCTCACTGACCACCTCACATTCATGTGGTAGTGCTGTGTGTGATAAACCCTTGGCATCTTGGTTTACCTACTAGTCACTTGGAGATTTGAGATTGATGGACATAGAGTTTTACTCATCCAGGTTAGAGAGCTTGTAGAGGTACAGCTATTCATAGTAGTTTTAAAATCTTTTTCATGGAGGAAGATACCAGCTAATAACCATGAAGAGACTTAGAAGTTTAAATGAATCTACATAACGAATACAGGACACCCTTGAGAATATAACTGGGGAAACATCCTGAAATTTTTATATCCTCACTTTGGTGAAAAATTCATGTATCACATGGAAATGAAATAATGAGAATAGGTCAGATACTACACAATATTCCAGTGTTTATTTCTAATAATATAAGTATGCAGGGAAAAAAAGACATTTGAATAAATGTATTGTCTCTATACTTTCTTTCCATGAAACAATGCCACTTGGTAAAGGTTGAATTCCTGTTAGCCATCTCACTGAGGAAGCAAACAAGACTAACTGTGTTGAAACTATGAACGTAGTGTCTTCTGTCATGAAGGTTTCTGTATGTCTCTAGGATATAATCACTACTCCAACCCCACTTTACCTACAGTGTGGACTTGAACCTGAAGAAATCTGTCTGAACCTTCCTATCAGCACACCAAAAGTGTTCCCTCTTTCACAGAACTCCCACTCAGAGGTGTGACCAAGACATCCCTCTCTTTTCCCATCAACAGAATCAGAGGTATCAAGAGTATTGGGAGCTAGCTGGAGAGCCGTTGATGCTTTTATGCTATGTCGAAAACAAAATGATGTGGAATTGTGTAAGAGGAAGAGTGCATGTGTCATCATTTTCTGCTACATCTCAGGTCCTAGGTCTAATCCTACTCCAAGTAATCACTTCATTTTCTATACATACACTCTTCCTAAATCTGGTGTTTCTGTTGCACCACTGGGTTTCTGGCCTCCTTTTTCCTTTAGTTGTGTGCATCTCCGCACTTTAGCAAACATTTCCTGTGTATGGGACACTTCAGGGAGCGAGAGACAGACGATAAAATTTGATCCCTGCCTCTGAGCACCTCAGACAGCCCTATAGGGAGCTAGACATAATCCATTTTCCTTAATTTTCTTTCCTTGAGGTTTAGACACCCAAACATGTCACCACCTACCCCCCATAGTTTCATTCCTGTTTATGGGGTGGGGTGGGGAGTCTTTATGCATTTGGAGACTTTCTGTATTATAGAAGACAGCTAATGATAATTTGTCTAGCTCCTTTTGCAAAAGGGAAATTTACCTGTTGATTTTCAGAGAAGAAAGAACCCTTGTAAAGATGGGTTCCAAACAAAGAGCCTCAAAGAAGCACATCCCTCATTGTGCTGTAAATAGGCTGTATTGCCCAAGTAGGTCTTAGGCAGGCTAGAAAAGAGAACTCAGTGACCTTAGGGCCAGTCTTACTTTAATCTGCTCTCCCCAACAAAGCAGACCTGAGGTACTGACTTTTAGCAGTAGGGGCCGGGTCAGTAGACTGCAGCTCAGTCAGTGAAATTCAGATCTTGAGTGGATGAGGAAAAGTGTGTATCTTCATTAACAATAATCAGAAGGGTTTGTACTATGCCAGAATTATTAGGGGATGGCAGAGGAAGGGATAAAGTAATGCCATTTCTAAAGAACCCAAAGTTGTAATTCACTCTGAAGAGCTGTGAAGTTGTTTTCTGATTACCATGGGTGGAAACACTGAATTTTACTTCAGTTTCCTTTCATGTTAACCCATGAGCTGGAGTCCCTGGTTATTTGTCATGTGCTGCAGCTGATGTTTGTTTCTCTGAGGGGTCTGGGCAGGTCTTACAGTTGATTCTCTAGACTTCTGAGCTGGATTGCAGCTGGATGAGCCTTCCATCAGACCCATGTCAGGAAAATCGGCTCTTTCTTTAGGCTCCTTTTCTCAAAAGGATTTTGCCTCTGAAATTGTGTTCATCATAAAGCCAACTTGTGTCTCCTAAGTTAAAACAATAAAATGAAACTTGGATATTCTATAGACCTTATACTTGGGATCCCACTTAATGCAGGCAAACATGTTGGGTCCTAGCAGTCCTGTCTGTACAGTTCTGGACACATCTGGAAGAGGGCTGGGTCAGCAGCCCGCAATGGTTCTGGTTTCAGCAATTCTGACTGATTATCCCCCCAAACCTTGAAAACTTTATTGCCTTAGTATCTAGGCTATACCTTCCAGACAGCCTCTCACACTTGGATTCAGCACACATCTTTTTGGTCAGACCGTATCTTGAATTTTGGCTTCAAAAATGTCACTGGGGATTAGCTATGGGGGAAACTCCAGTCTTGAATTTTGAGGGGTAAGGCTGGGCTTAGGGGCTCAGTGCAGTAGGAAAGGGGCCCAAGATGTTGGTTGGCACACGGATATGGAGAACTTTGCAAGCAGAGCCAGAATCTATGAGGAGTGAGGCCCAGGAAAATCTGGCACAGGGAACAGCTGGGTATTTAACCAGGAACACTCGCTCTGTATTTTGCAGCCTTGGCAGTAGGTCAGAGCAACAGACAGTTCTAGCAGGGTCCACATCCTTCCTGTTATCTCCACCCCAACCTCACTCGTCCCAAACATCTGCTTCAAATTTGGACCTTTGCCTTCTTGCCTGATTCTGTCCCAAACCATGAGTGGCAAGGGTGAAGGCACCTCTGCAAGTGTGGGAATGTGAAGAAGAGGGTAGTTTGGTTTCAGGTGCTGCAGAAGAGTAAAGGTCTGACCTATTTTTTAAATGTGCATATGTATCACCAAAAGCTAGCCAGTAAGTTGTTTCACTTGTGTAAAGCAAGCAAGGGAAAGAATTGGGACCAGATGGGGAAGTTTCTGGGCCATCATAGGAACTGCTTTTCAAGGGTTCCTCAGAGTCAGTCTAGTGGGAGCTGAAGTGATTAGTGCCCACAACGAGCAGTTGAGGTGCTAATGAGGTATTAAACACCTCTTTCCCAGCTAGCAGCTGCACACAAGCTGAAGCAGAGGGTGAGTCAGAGCCCTGAAACCAGTCTTCCATGAGATGGCTGTGAGGAAGCAGCAAGAGGGGCTGGCATTTCGTCACAGCACCTTTGCTAGTCACCACGAGGATGAAGTGTCTCCCACACTCGCTGTGAGTCTCAGTCCATTTTATAAGTAACAGAAAACACTAAGGAAAAACACTGGGGAGCGTAAGAACATAATCTCAGAACTTTTATAATGTTAGGTGACTTCTAATATGTGGTTATTGAGCCAGGCCCTGTTTGAAGCACTTGGTCTATTTAACTCATTTCATTTTCACATCAATCTATACGGTAAATTCAATAAGCATTCCCATTTTACAGATGAGACCGAATCACAGAGAAGTAACTTGTCCAAGGTTGTATGTCCAGTGGCTCCAAGGAAGAGGTTTCGGGTCAGGACTGTCAAGTCCTGACAAAAGAGCTGCTAGTGTTCTCTTCATCCTCAAAATTCTACGAGCTCCTGACTTCTGGTACCCCAGGGAGCCAAGTGGGTGGGCACTTCTTCAGCCAGTCCAGCCACTCTGTGCCTTCTGGGTTTTTGTGCCCAGTCAGGGCAGAGCTTGCACTTTGCACCCGACGCTCTAGTATAGGAGGAGCCCTTCCGTCTCCCAACTGTTAACAAGTTGGAGAGGTGCCTTAGGTTGTTGCTGAGCTCAAGGCCCCTGATGGGAAACGAAAGAGGAGCTGAAGAGCAAGAGCTGACCAAGCCCATGGGCTGCCAGGTTTCCTACTTCAAAGCTGAGGGGTAAGAGCCAAGCCCATCGCTTGGCTGGAAATCTGGGAGCCTCTGTGACATACCAGCTCACCCTGGCAGACCTTTGTCTTGCCAAGAAGAAACCGTATGGATAGTGGCAGGCCACAGGCTGCTTCCAGCTGTTGCTTCTAGGGCTGTGCCAGAATCTTTATGTGGGGGTAGCCCCATCCCACTAGAGAACAGATGTGCTGTGATAGGTCCTAGCAGGGATGTGCTGTGAAGGTGCCTGCCTGACATGGCCAGATACCTGAGGACAGCAGCTCTGCAAGCATGGCCAGGTGAGTGTCAATGAGCATGGTCTGAGCTCATGCCAGCCTTGGTTCCTTTGCTCATATTGTATATTCTGTGGGGAATGCACATCATGGCCTGTCCTTAACCTTCAAATCCAGCTTGTGGCAGAGGATGTGAGGATTAAAGACAAGAATTTATGAGCCATGGTAACACTGTGTCTGACATAGTAAGCTTTTTTTTTTTTTTTTAAGTAGGCATTATTTGGCACCTGCCTGGCAAATGCAAGGTCCAGAATTCGATCCCCGGTATTGAGAAGAAAAAAAAAAAAAAAAAAAACATTCATATTTCACTATTACTTTTTTGTTTTTTGGCAATGCTAGGGATTGAAACCAGGGCCTCGTGCATACTAGGCAAGTGCTGTAGCACTGAGCTACGTTCCCAGCCCTCTTTATTATTATTAACAATGGTAAAACAATATCCACTGCTGTTTTAGGCTATGTTGTAGATAGGAATTTTGGAGATCAAGGTTAAATCCTGAACTTCCTTACTATAATTTTTCATAAATTGTTTAGTCTCTCTTAAATGAAAAATACTGATTCTAACTCAGACAACAGTGGACATGTTGTCCTTGCAGTACCTTGTATTGGGAATGTGAAGCTCAAATGAGATGGGGGATGTGACATCCCATAAATGCTGGCATGGCCTCTCTCACTTCCACTAGTTCACCTTGGTCTCTGGCCCTGGCCCACCCTGGGTATAGTTAAATCCCTTGCTTTTCTTTTCACCAAACCTGGAATTTTTTCAGAAAAAAAACTGGTTTAAAAATGAAGGGAGGAGAGGGCTGGGGATTTAGCTCAGTGGTTCCACCGCCTGCCTTGCAAGTGCAAGGACCCAAGTTCGATCCCCGGTACCAAAAAAAAAAAAATGAAGGGAGGGCCAGCTATCATTTTATCTTCTCCTGCTAAATCACCTGCCAAAAATGGAGAATTAGTTAAAGGCCTGACCAGGTGAAAGAAAGTGCAGGTGCTGTTTTATCTGCTGCAGTAAAAGATTCAGCCTCGTGGAACAAAGCCTTTTAACACTCAAACCTGAGGACTCTTCAGTAAACAACATTCAGAGTGATGACGGCACTACTTTTTCAGCCAGTGTTACACCACGCGTTTCCAAGGAAGGAGGATTCATACAGTTGATGCCAGCCACAAGAGCAACTTTTGGCAACTCAAATAACATTCTCATTGCTACCTGTGTGACTGATCCAGCGGCCTTGGGAACAACAGTCTAATGTGGTGTTGCCGGGAAATTCTGCACCTATGACTGCACACCCTCCTCCACCACAGTTACAGACACCACCAAGATCAAACAGTGTATTTGCTGTCAACCAAGCTGTGTCACCAAACTTTTCACAAGGTTCTGCCATTATAATT